CGGCAGGGGTGCGCTTTGGCCTGGGGAGTCAAGTTCAGCATTCGCTTCAATGATATCTGGCGCCATCTAGCGTCGTGAATGGGTATAATGTCTAGACCCCGAATATAAGACGACACCCACTTTTTCAGTCTTATTTCAATGCAAAAAAACACTGTCTTATGTTCGGGCCAATACGGTAATTTTGTGTTTTAACTTTGTATAACAATACAGAGGCTTGAATTTTTCTTGAATCAACTCCAGTCCATTTAATAGGTAGAGTTCAGTTGTGTTTAACTTTGTGATTTTTCCCTTTTTTTGCGGTGGCAGTCCTGTACCAATTAACCGCAAAAAAAAAAAAAAAAAAAAAAAGTAATTTCTGTAATGGGAACGCTATTAGCTAATCTAAATTAACATTGCAGCTCTGCTTAGCTTTTGGCTTGGACATTATAGTCGCCTTTGCATAGTGCATTGACTGGAAGGCCGCAAATCTTTGCACAGCCTAGCTTCCATGTCATGCACAGAGCAACTTGGAGTGCAAAGAGATCATTTTCCGCAATGTGTTATGTCATGTCAATAAGTTGCACTGAATGTAGCGCTTGACTTTTTATATTTTGCGAAACGTGTGGTCCTCATGGCAACATGTCAATAATACGGATAAATACTATACACACCAAACTGCAAAAAACCCCCCCAAAAAACAACATACCATCAAACAACAGAACACATACAAGGAAGGATATTTAATTCCACAAGGCGAAACATTTACGGCGTGTTTGTAAGTGCACTTTCATTTTTCACTGCACTTGATGTAGAGAGATGGGAACCGAGATGTGTGTGCGTGAGGGCTCACGTAATGGAATATCATGGGAAATGGCAAAGAAAGATAGAGCGGATCTAGAGAGAAGAGGATATGGATGCATTAGGCGAAGAACTAAATGATGCATCCACAATTTAGTCATTGAAAGTTGGCTTGCAGTCACGCATGCCAAAAGTGGAGTGACAGTTGGCCAGACGTATTGGAAGGCACAGATTTGTTTGATATGCCTCTTCAAAGCTGTCCCCTGTGGGGCGCAACAGAAGCCCGGCGGCAATATGGCGTTCATAAATAATGCTGGACATGGAGGCTACACAGAAGACACAAAATGTGATGTTGCATCCATTAATATTCAACTAATTTCACATAAATAAACAAGACAAACATTACTGCGAATAAACTAAGGCCCCAAAAATGGTTATGTCTTTGCTGGCTGTGTCAACATGTATTACCACAATTATAACCACAGTATGGTTGGTATGGCAACAAGCGTGGAGCGCCGTGATGTCGCCAAGACGGGGAAGCCAACCGGTTCACAATCTTGAATATACGCACACACATACGTTACTGAACACACAGCAGAAGGACGCTGTGGCACAATTTGCGCTTTGCAATGCATGCTGACGCCGGAATTGTTTTTGCACGAGGAGCTGCGGGGATACGTTTGGGAATGCGGAAGCTTTGGTTTTCAGGAATTACAGTTTGTAACTATGATCTCTTTTTGAAAATGCTATAAATGTTTTGAGAAAAAAAAGGGGCCTCTCTTTGTCTCTTCAGAAAACAAATTAATGAATTAATAAATAGGCGAAGCCACTCAGAAGCAGCGATTAGCTGGACTATGTCGACCGTAAAAAATATAATTTGTACAAATAAAGGGCTCCCTAATCATACATGTGAGACAAGCCAGACAATATGAAGAATTACAGTACCAAGTAAAGAAGTGTGGATACTTCTTCTCATTGACAGCCTGTGCAAATTTTCTTTATCCCCCTCCCCCCCACCCACACAGATGCTTATATGGAACTGTCTGGCAGCAGAGAGCAAAGACAATCCTTTAATGTTTCAGCCAAAAAACCTTGCTTAAAACAAAGAAAGAACTTTTTTTTTTTTTTTTTTGCATTAGCATTTTTGCCGAGGTTTGGACATTATCGTTCTTGCTACAACATTTATTATTCAACATGCATGAGTTAGAAATGTGATTTCAAGCCTGATTTGCCATCACGTTCACAATTTCAGACATTTCGTTAGTCACTAAAAGCAATGCCATCTTTCTGCTTCACCAAATGTGAAATATCAGAATTTGACTTTCAGCATCAAGTGCAAGGAGCGCTGACCGGCTGGCTGGACCGAAACGGTCTGAAAATTGGGCGATGCAGTTTATTATGATTTTCACATCTGCAGGATGACGCGTGTGTGCAGTGTTGGTGCCTCCCCCTTCTACACAGCCATCTCGTCTCCTAAACAGTCGGGCAAACTCTCCGTATTCAACACATGGAAAAGTCGAGTGGCAGCGTCCAGTCCGGCCCCCTCCCCGTGCCCCCAACTGTCCCGATCATCACTTTCATCTGTGTTGGATTCATACTCCGATCCGATTCCCGACTCCCTAAACCGTAGCAGCTCCAGAGCCCCCAGCACCTGCTCGCCCATCGGCGAGCTGTCATCGAGAGCCTCGTCGCTGGGCGTGTCGCCCGTCCCACCCGTCGCTCGCCCTTGCTCCTGGCCGTCGGGACCTCGCGAGGAGAACCGGAAACACTCCAGACGGACTGCGTTGCCGCCGAGGTTGCTTTCTGCACCTGCGGTGCTTGAGGGGCAGGACCCCGGGAGGAAGGGGAGCCAAGCGCCGTCGCTGATCTGCTGCTGGGATGCAGAAGCTAAGGGGCCTGTCGAGGGAGATGGTGTGAGTGGCTCGCTGGGCGTGCTGGGGGGTCGTGCACGAAAAGTGATCTCCAGAAGACTGTCCTGGGAGCCCACTGAGGACACACATGAAAGGACATTTCATGAGCAAACAGCAAGAGCAAGCAAATGTGCCGTGACTGGGCTAAGAATACGGAACGACTTGACAACGACTCGCTTGGGCACGCACAGACAGGAGAGACACGCATAGTGATGAAATAAACAAAGGAGATGATTGAGTAAGTTGTGCATTTGTGTGTTTGGCTGCTTGTCTTTCAAACAAAACAGAAAGACATGCATCAGTGAGCGGTGACATATTTGACTCCCGTGTGTACGTCAGATTTTGGCTCGCAACACGTCCATCCATCCATTTTCCAATGCACTTGTCCTCAAAAGGGTTGCTGCGGGTGCTGGAGCCGATCCCAGCCATCTTCGGGGAGTAGGCGGGGTACACCCTGAACTGGCCAATCGCAGGGCACACAGAGATGAACAACCATCTGCGCTCACACTCACATCTAGGGACAATTTGGTTGTTTTTGGAACATGGGAGGAAACCGGAGTACCCGGAGAAAACCCACGCAGGCCCAGGAAGAACATGCAAACTCCACACAGGGAGGCGGGAGCTGGAATTGAACCCGGTACCTCTGCACTGTGAGGCCGACGCACTAACCACTGGACCACACCGAGCCACCCACTCACAACACAAAGCAAAAAAAAAAAAAAAAAATACAATTCACCTTAAGTAACAACTTGTACCTCCAAAAAAAAAAAAAAAAAAATTCTAAGTTGGGGCACGCACAAGTCAAGGTACGAGTAGTGTGTTGCACTCACTAGATGTTAAATGTCCAGCAGCTTTAAGCTCCAGTTCCTGGATCTGTTTGACCAGAAGGGAAATGTGTTGCAGCAAATCAGTGTTCTGCTGCAGCAGCCTCTGAACTCTCGTCTGGGCCTCGCTTCGAGCACAAACCTCCACATTCAGCTGGCCCCGAAGCACATGGACCTGATCCGAGCCAGAAAAAAATCACGAGTCAATAAAAAGGACCGGTGTAGTTTATGACTACACTATTAGTATCGATATTTGGCTTTCGCATTAAAATCCCAAGACGAGTCGAAGAAGAACTATAAGCGGTGGTGGCTGGTCAAAAAATAAAAAATACAGCGGAACCTCAAGTTAAGAGCTGAATTGGTTCCGTGAGCCTGTCTGAGATCATTTTTCCCGCTGTAATGAATGAAAATGCTAAATTCCACCAGCCCTCCACTACTGACTGTTCAGAATGCATGTCGACCAATAAATTAACGAATAGCCTGGAAGAGTCACAGAAAGGCATGTAAGTGGACACCTTTTCAAATTTACTTGATCGTAAAACGCCCCTGGGTGAATTTTGCCGTTCGGCTTTTCGTTCTCTCTACTACAACAGCAAGCTGCGAAAAAAGTACTGAAACGGCAAACAGTTGGAAGTGTTGAACAGTTTAGAGAAGGACAAATATGGCGGGGTTTTTATTTGGCTCATTCAGAAAGCCAAATATCAGTGATAGGACTTTTTGTGAGCATATATGGAATTAGCGGCACACGATTTCTAAAGTTGATCGGTCCACCCATGCATCCATTCATTATGCGTGAAACCTTTTCTCTGAATCGTCGACATCAAATGCACGCCAACGACCATTGAAACAAACATCTCCGGTACCTGAGCCGAAGCCGCCAGTGCCTGTTGCTCCTGCTGCTGTAACTGTTTCTGCAACAGTTGTAGCTGGTGTTCTGAACCGCAGGGTGCATCTGCAGCCGGCTCGCCCGCTCCAGAAGCTTTCCTGGCCGGGGAGTTGAGGAGAAGAGAGCCACCTTTGGAGCCCTGAAGCCGAGAGGAGAAGAGCAAACAGACTGCGCTTTACCAACAGCGAGGATGGAGAGCCATCCATCTGAGGCCTATTTTTTTTTTTTTTTTTGGTGGGGGGGATTCTCATCAGATTCTCCAGGCATCCCAAATAAAAAATCTGCTGCATGTAAATTGTCTGAAAGCATCCATAAATGTCACTTGGAAGTGGGCGCCGCCATCTGTCGTCTCCTGTTTGTTTGAATGGAATAACAATGAGTGGCACTAAAATAATCAAGTATAATTTACGGTCTGTACCTTCCCATTATTACCAAGGACCTTTTTGTTCCTCTCCGGGTCTGATGAAGTGTTGCACTCGATACTCTCCTCTGTTGTGGCTTCAAGGTCGGTCTCCTCTGACGATGCAAACCTCTTGTTGGCTGCACAGAACGCAGACACATATGAGGGACCTTTAATGCTCTGTTCTTTTTTTTTTTTCTGAGCTTGACAGCATGCAACTCATCCATAGAGGCGAGGTGGTGTGTCGAATCCACAAGAGCAAATGATTTAATCAATGACTCAAACTACTCGCCAGCACGAGAGTGCAGCCGCAGCACCGCCAGCTATAATGAACACGATCATTCGGCGACAGCGGCAGATATTCTCTGCCTTTTTTTTTTTTCCCCTTCCAGCAGGTGCTTGAAGAAGCAAGAAGGGGGAAGTTGGTGTGCCAAGTGGCAGGTAAGGGCGATTTGTGACAGGAGGAAAGGAACAGTTTGTGATGTTTGGCACCTGGCGTGGCATCAGGCTCCTCCTCCTTCCCCTCGTCATCCTCCTGGTCATCTGTTTGAGTCTGCAAGGTCAGCTGGTGACACACGTCGAACGCTTGACCTACTGTCCGCACAATCCGCATGGCCTGAGACTGGGGAGGGAGACGAGAGTGCGTGTGAGACAAATAGCTGGTCGGGATCAAGCTGCGAGGGAGGATGGAAAGATGAAGGGAGCCGGCGGGACGAAAAGGAGGTGGAATAGGAGAAAGGATTGCTGCGGGGGAAGTATATGGAAGAGGGGGAAGCTTCCACTGCTCTGTATTGATTCTGCTGCTATAGTGACTGATTGGTCAGCTCAGATTGAAGGAATTACGTCGTAAAGGCAAAATTGGAAGGTAAATGTTTCAGGAGTCATTTGAGATTATTTGACCCCCCCCCAAATTTAAAACAGATATCAGGTGCTTTCAGGTTTGAGAAGGATAGGGAGGCTCTGGTTCAAGCTAGGACGTTAAATAGGTAAGCAAGCAACTTCTATGGGGTAAAATTTGGCGTAGCTTCATTTTCATGCCGGGGCAAATCTATTTTGCCTTGTTTGGAAATTCGGCAGATTGCGTTGCACCTTCCTGTGCGTTCTGAGGGTGTTTTCTATTACACGCCTCGTAGTGCGTGACAATTTGGTGACAGAAGGCAGACTAGATTTTCGACTCGCTAAAAGGAGGTCTAAGTTGTGGCGCAGGTGGTATTTTGGTGGATTTCATCCAGGCGCAGGCAGAGACAAAATGGTTCATACCGCAGGCTGCAGCCAACAGAGATTGGTTAAGTTCTTGTTGTCGGTTTCACAGACATTTTTATAGAATTTTGAGACTTTCAATTTGATAGGAAAAGTCAAACAGAATAACAAAGTCGCAAAAAATAGCTCATGTAATCGTTCATATATTGCCCCATCAACCCTACTTCACCGGTATTGTCAAATAAAGCAGCTGGTGCTCCCCAGACTGAAGCTAAAAGCTTCATATAGATGACGTGAGAAGAAATCTAATTTGCTCGTATCAGCTGCTCCATCTCCTCCTGCTCAGTTACATGCATGGTATACAGCAGCCACCAAAAAAACAAAAAAAAAAAACCCCACTCAGGCCATTCTCCAGACAATGAGGTGACGTTATTCAGCAGCGCTGTCTTTCAGAGCGGAGAAACACGCACACGCATGCACACACAATCCTCATTTCTCTCCCAACTAGGATGATTAATATGAAGTGTCATCTAAGTCACTCTCTGTCTCGTCTCCATGAGAAAGGGATCACCGAGGAATTATCTTTGTCTTGGAGGAGAATATGCAGATATTTTCTTTTCCATCAACCCATCACCACATCAGCACCGACCGGCCTGCTGGACGGGCTACCGATTGGTTTGAAGTCCTTGTGAAACTACGAACGCGTGGTCATTCATGACATCGTCGGGTTTCGCGGGGATGTTTCTCTTGCCTTCCTCTTGGACTTGAAGACATTGCAGCGGAAGCTATTGCTTTCTCCATCTCTTGCGATGTAACTGAAGATCTTCAGGTCTTGTGCATCATGGGAAACGTAAAAAATCCTGGTGGCAGAAAAAAAAAGAGTGTGTGGGCTTTCGTTCACGTCTTAAAGGGGTAGTCAAGTTAAAAAAATGATCTTTACAAATAATATGTTCTATGTAGCCCCACTAGTATTCTGATTAATACCGTACTGTGTTTCTGGAATATGAATTGAGCAGCAAAATCCACCCGTTTTTATCCATCCAAGGCGGTGGCCATTTTGTCATTTGCTGTTGATTGATGTAGATCAGAGTTGCACAGTTGCTCAGGGCTAAGGTAACGGCCAATCACAGCTCAGCTTGCAATCATCACAAGACCAAATTCAGAAAACAGGTGTCATAATTTGCCGATTCATCTATGACAGCAAACACAATATCGCTCAATCTTGTAACGATCTCTGACGCCAGTGTTAATTATACAAAAATTAACGGCATATATGGTCAGATTTTTTATTTTCATTTTTTTTGTGTGATATGAATGTTTCTCAGCATTTTGGGGCAAATTCCTAGGGTATAATTACATATCCATTTTCCGAGCCACTTTTATCCTCAGAAGGCTCGCTGGCGTGCTGGAGCCTATCCCAGCTGTCTTCGGCGCCTTTCAATTCAGGCGGGGGACACCCTGACCGGTTGCCAGCCAATTGCAGGGCACCCAGAGACGAACAATCATCCGCGCTCACGCTCACACTCACACAGAGGGATAATTTAGAGTATTCCATTAACCTGCCACGCATGTTTTGGGAATGTGGGAGGAAACCGGAGTACCCGGAGAAAACCCACGCAGGC